ATCGCGATTTTAGTAGGGACACACCTAATTACCGTAATTTCAGTAGGGATGTAGCCAATTTATATATGCAAAGGTATGGGATTTTATTTCGGGTTTCTAATGCTGGTATTAACTTTAACAGGAGAAGAAAAATAATTTTATCTTATAATGCTTATCTTTTTATATCTTTCATAATTCCTATCTGACAGCCTCGAGTTGATCTTCGTGTGTGAAAGCACCTATGAAGTATTTTATAAATGGCCCATACATGTCATATCATTCATATCTCTGGAAGTTGCGCATCATACATGATATCTTGATATGATATGCTTATATGGGGGCCATACCTGGTAGAATATAATAAAATACGGCACTCGTGGGAATTAGATTGAGTTGGTGACGTAGTTGTGTGTTCAATCCATTGTCTAGGCCTGATCGACTTTGGTGGAATTATTTTTTTTTTGTATCACTGTAAATTCGGAATTCGTATTGTATACTAAAGAGTTATTTGTTTAATTCTGTTCAATGTATCGCCTTACCTATAACAGGAATTGTAGAGAATCGTTCGGCGATGACTTCATATTTTTTCGATTAAATTTTCATATACCGGTATTTGGCAATTGCCGACATGCTTATGTAAATACTAGTCGTTGAACAATTTCCCTAAAAAATAATTTTATATCAACGTTACTGTGTTAAGTTTTATCCGACGAGCATCGACCTCATTCTATCAATTGAAATATGTTTACAAAGTTCCCCCAAACACTGACTGCGCTTCTAAACTCCACCTGAAATGAGAAACAGTTATTTTCTTGTTAGCGCATTGTTTAACATGGTATGTTTTCATGGCGGAATATTTGAAAATTTGAATTATCACGTGACCACACGAAGATAAATTATCGTAATCGTAGTCTTGAAAACATTTGAAATTTACTGATTTGGTAGATTAGTTTGAATACAAATTTTCTCAATACAACAACTCAGCTATATTTCCTTTGAATTAAATTTTAGTATAAAGTTGTTAAAGCGTAACGAATAACCTCTGGCATCGTTAAATTTCAAGATAAGAGAAATTACGCAACATTGGTAAACATTAAGTACGGGCGCCACTTGCTGGGTAAACAATGAGCTAATGACGTCGAATACACAAAGTTACCATATTGTTACACAATGTCCAACAGATAGACAGCAATTTTTTGACTGAATTCACTTTAGATTATGGAATATGTGGATATCAATGAAGTTATAGTGCTTTTTCGTATTTTGGGAGTTTATTTCCTTCAATTTAATTGGCGAATTAAGTAACTGGAATTGTTCTATACTATCTACAATCTATAGCAACAAAGACATTGCTGCTGAAAGTAATAACCATCTTATGTGACGACGCAAAAGGAAACTGTCGCAGCCAACGAGCGAGCGCTTGATAACGCAGGCTTGCGGACCTGGGATTTAGTTTTTTGATTCATCGTGTTTTTGTTGCTGTTATTAACCACGACAAAAAGAAGGGAAATATTCCTAAATTACATATCGTGGTTATGTTTCAGTCCCAGTTATATTTCTTATAATTTCAATATGTCTTTCAAAATGGTTTAGATAGTTTTTAAGTACTTTCAATTCGGCCATTTTATCCGCTTCGAAATGTAAGGTAACAACGCTCAATGAACCTCACGTAATTATGTTGGGCAATATAACATTTAATAATTTTTTGGCAAATCAATTACTCAAACTGTTATCATTTATTTAAAAACATCTGTAATAATTGTTTATAATAGATTGTTCTCTTTTGCATAATTTCAAATATATTGTAGACATGTTTTGAAATCGTCCCAAAAGTCGTATGCTGTACAAAAAATGTAAAAGTTACGACGATTTGAATGTAAGCACATTGCTAGCAGGCAAAGATAGTTCGTTTTATGTCGAATATTACTGCTTTGTGTATTATGCTTGAGTATTTATTATTATTCAGTTCAACGTATCGTCTTATATATAATAGGGATTGTCATATTTCAATGTGAGCACAATGTTAGCAGACAATTGGGTGCTCCCGTAGTATTCGTACCAAGATGGCGCACAACCTGAACATAGTATGTGTACCAGGTTAGGGTTAGAAGGTTGTCCGTCATCTTGATACGAATACCACGGGAGCGTCGAAAATTGGGCCTGAAGATAAATGTTATGTTACGCATGATAGCTGCGTATATAATGCTTGAGTATTTAGTGTTATTTAGTAGACTTGTGGACAGTCAGTTAGTTTTTTCAACATACTTATTTCTAATATAAGATGAAAGGAAGAGTTGACGAAAACGCATTTAAGACGTTTTACAGATTCTTCTTTTTCATTTGTGTTTCAGTTGACTTGGTTAACCGTTAGAAACATACATTGGCAAATAGGAAAATATCATAAAATATTATTACATCTTATTACACTGCAAACGTAAAGTGTTGTTACTTTGTAGTCAATATTCTCATTCGAAACATCATCGTCTCTAGATTGAATATTTTCAAGGTACAATATTTAGAAAACATCGCAATAACATGAATACATACCTAGATACGCCAAATTTATCCAATATTTGGTTCTTTTGGGGTGCTCCCGAAGTATGTGTATCACGATGGCGCACAACCTGATCTTGATGTGTGTACCAAGTTTGGTTCAGGTTGTGCGTCATCTCGGTACGAATACTTCCGGATCGCCCCTTTTGGTGCCGAAGCATTAAATACAAAAGAGAAAAATACATATTGACAGATTTGATTGAACTTAAATACAGAAATATTTCACTTGTCACAGGAATATAAACCAGTAGAAATCTAAAATAATGTCCGACTCAGAACAACAACAAATCGTTCCTAGTTCGATCGATCAACCAACAATGGAGTCTGTCGAGCAACAAACAGACAAATCCGATCTTACCGACCCAGAAACAGTCGAGGCGGATCCAGCTGTTCAGCCAATAATCGAGTCCGATATCATTGATAACAATTCCAGCAATGACACCGACGATTCAGGAAACGAATCTCCACCAAGACAACAACAACAACAAGGACCTATGATTCAGGACTTGGGTCCTGAGGATGAGATTCATGAAGAGCAAGGTCCAGGACAGGAATATCAGGTTGAAGAACCAGGCGAAGGTGAGAAATGTATATTGGAAGTGAATTTCCTTTTGTAGCATTCTTAGAATCAAACTGCCGCGGAGCCTTTTATCGACGGATATTTCTTATATATAATAATGCTAGGTGTTTTCTTATAAATCACAAGTGAAAAGGTGAAAGACTAATTTTAATCACTGAATAGGCTGTTTGCAATAATAGATCGAAGTCCGTGCATTCAAATTCACTCACGAATAGGTGAAGTATAAGTGTTTAAACAGGGTGATTTCAACCAGGTATATTCGTATCGAGGATAGATAAAACAAGAGCAGTGTAGCAAAACGATAAAATTCGCAGACGTTGTTGATTATTGACTGATTTCTCTATCGCAAAGGACACCAGCGTATATACATAATAAGTCAAAAATTGTCAAACCGTAAAATGTAATCTAATACCACAACAGCATAGTAATAGATTTAAGTAACTTAGCAAATGTACCACAAACAACAATTTATACACGGGCAGGAACAGAACCAATTCTTTATCATTCATCAAATTTTTATCTGTTGTTCATGTTTTCCTGTAGTGGGTTTCGTTTTCTTTTATCTTGCTGTTATTCCAATCAATGCTGTGATCTTTAGAATGGGCATGTTGCTTGCAAGAGGGCCTGCATTTTAATTTTATTCTGTTACTCATCTCACTGCTGTTCCTTGCTTTGAGTTTCGAGAAGTTTTTTGTTTGTTTCTCCAATACTTACACTCGCTACATGGAATTGAATTACATCGTTTGCTAACACTGGTTGTACTGCATCTATCTTTGTATAATGGTTATACACTGCTAAACTCCAATCGTGTATAGCTGTTCAATATTAGGTACCGTTTTTCATTCTATAACACGTTACTACTCCATTAGTGTGTGTACCAGGTGGGGGTTAGGCCATAATTCTATTCTGATTTTTCTTATTTTAGTTCTATTACGAGATCGGGAACCCTCTGTGTTAGCCAAGTGAATATTCCCCTGCCCATCGGCTTCTGTCCCTTTATACAACTTGATGTAAAGTAGGCAAACAAAATTAGGTACCTCCACATTGGTACACGCATATCATACGTTTGATATTGCCCGTCATTTGGTTATTGAATACGGAATCCGTTTTAGGCTTAGCAGATACGAAAAGAAGTCTATTTGTCTGTTTAAAAACAAGTCAATGCTCAAATTATTTTTATTGTTATTTGATGAATTGTGTTAAAATGCCAACGAAAGAAATTACGACTGAGCTCGTAACAAAAATAATTTGAACTAACTAACATCCTTGGTGAATGCCGATGACAAATAATTTGCGCGATTGTTGGTAACTTTCCTATACCTTGATCGGGGAACGCAAGATTTATGAAATCGTCTCTTAATCTCAATTTATAAAGAAAATTTAAATTTAAATCAACAGTTTAGCCTGGATGTGAATTACCATACAATGGACTATAAAGCGACCTATCGTAGGGTTGAAAGCAGCCGCCCCTATTTAGACTGACAATCAACTTGGTGAAAACAATATTATTTTCTCTGACCAACAAAATATAGATGGATAGACGCGAGATGTCACTAATTTACCTTCATTTCACCAGTAATTATATTTAGTTCTATTACGATTTCGGGGACTAGCCAAGTAACTCGCGAGTATTTGTACCTGAAATTATGGCCTAACCCTAACCTGGTACACATACTACATTCCGGTGTCCGCCATCTAAGTTCACATATTTCAGGATCACCTATAGGAAAATGAAAAATTCCAATCTTTTCATGGCATAAATATTCAATATATTAAGGAAGGTATTTGCTTCAATTAACAGTCGCTTGAAGTATTAATTCATTTACATTTTCAGGACCGTCGGTTGTTCACCAACCGTCACAACAGGTGGTTCAACAACTCACAGCAGAACAAGGTGGACAAGCAGGCAATGTCGTTATAAAACACATTCACCATCATCGAACTCTGCATTACCATGTCGCCCCGGTTTATCAAGGCTCAGTAATAAAAGGAGACATCGTGGGGTGAGTAGTCAGCTTTAATTCTGAAATGTTATTTTTTCAAGAATTAAAAAATCCAAGCATTTTGCCGCTCTTGCCATATTCCGTGGATTTTGTAACTCCTACTACTTGATTTTGTAAAGCTGTACTTCCTTTTATACACAAGCATATGTTTTGTTATGGTATAAGAAGAAATTTACAGTCAATTGTTAAATACCTACAAAATGCATTATTTAGGCAAAAATTTCCCTACAGTTTTGTAAACGTTTTTTCAAATAGTATAGTCGTAATCGTTATTCAAAATCATTGTGCTCGACAAAGTTAGTCAAATTTAAAGTTCAGCACCATTGGGAAAATGAGTGAACATTTAACTTAGCATGGTAGCCGATGAGACATGGTATAATATACGCTGATATGTACAACGGCTGTACGGGCGCTGCGAGATTAAAACAAACAAAGGAGCGGCATTTCCTCGTGCGAAATTAATGACGCGTACTTTTTTTTTTTTTTTTTTTTTTTTTTTTTTATTGGATTTTTATTAAATAAAAACAATATTGCAATAAACAATATCGCTCAAAATCAAAAAAATAATAAATAACAATATCATTTCAGATCACTTTATAGGACATGCATTTTTTGGATTTTCATAAATTATAAAACATTATATAGCAGCAAACAATATTAATAAATTCCTTAAACCATTCCACAGATAATTTTGGATTTTATACATAAAAACATAGAAATAAATAAATAGTAATATTACTCAATAACACAGACATAAGAGTATTTTTTCATAACATGAACATAACAGTTTTAATCAAATTATCTTACAGAATAAACATGAGAGAATTATTTTTTATTTTTTTTTCATCTCACACTTTTAAATATATATTAGGCTATATAAAGACTATAAACAAATTAGAACAAAAACACAGTTGTCAGGTTTAAGCTAAGTAATCAATGATTATATAAATAAACGCCATTTTGTATTATGTATCATGATTTTACCATTTTTCATTGCGATATATTTCTCATTGTTTCGAATATCAGAAATGAATTTATAAAAAACATCAAAAACTGGTTTACGCTTTTGAATCCGACATCTATATATAAAGAAACGTGCAGCTAACAGCACACAGTTGATGAATTGCATATCAGAAATGTCATCGAAGCCAATAAAACATTCTTTCATTCCAAGATTAAAATCCAAGTTATCGGTCTTAAAGACAATCCATTGGTCTATGTCAGACCAAAATTCACTGGTGATTGGACAATAATAAAATAAATGCAAAAGGGTTTCAATATGTAATTTACAGAATTCACAGAGGTTTGTTTCCACTAGTCCGAATCCATATAAAACATTATTCAGAACTATAGCTTTATAAAAAAATTTAATTTGAAAAGATCTAAGTTTTGTTTCAATAGTTGATAAATATGAGTTTGTGAAATACTTGTTCCATTCCACACTAGGGATATTACAAGATTCCTGCCAAAAGGATTTGTACATGTCTGGTGGGACAAATATTTTTCCAATCATTATTCTATATGCATTTTTACATGAGAAGTTTTTTGTAGTGAATGAAAGGAATGCGCTAAAATCACAAAAGTCATCACATGATTGAGCAATCTCATTCCATTCCTCAGGAATACTGCCTATGATTTTGTAATAAGTTTTATAATCATTAGCATTATATGGCATGCAATATTTACTAATTAACTCGAAATAAGTATAAAAAGTATTGCTAGAAATCAAGTGTTTCAATTCAGAAATACCATGCTCTTTCCATGTTGAAATATAAAAAGGTTTTCTACTGTATTGCAACTTTCTATTGTACCATATGGATTGATTGAGTATATGTACATTTGTAACAATATTTTTAAAGTTATACCAGTATACTAACATGTCCTTAATAGTGATAAATGGAATATTTTTGATAAAATGAGAGTTCCGAAATAAATTTCCCTTTAACAAGGATGCTAAATCTAAATCATTCAAATAATTAAGTTCAACAAGTTTCCACTTACAAACTTTGGCATCGTCTAATAGAAATCCCACCCACTTAATTTTTTGTGCAATTATAAAGCTATGTACATCAATCATGTCAATCCCACCCAACATTTTTGGACCAATTAATGTTTTTCGTTTGACTCGTTCCCATTTGGAGTTCCATAAAAAATGATATAATGCAGCATTCAGTGACTTTATATATCTATCTGGTATAGAAACGGGTATATACGTAAAACTGTAAGTGAAAAGAGAAGCAATTAATGTCTTAATAATACACACCTTACCTAATAATGTAAGATTCCTCATTTTCCATACTTGAATAATATTTTTTGCCTTGTTTATGATTTGGGGGAAATTTACATCAAATAACTTGGATAAGTCAACAGGAATGTTTACACCAAGCAACTTTAAAGAGGATGTCAATTTGAGGCCAAAATTAGCAATGTAATCTATGTTTATAGGTTTTCCAATTTGCATTATGTGAGATTTCTCCAGATTAGTTTTGCATCCAGAAATATAACCAAAAACATTTAAAATATTAAAAAGGTTTTCAGCACTGGTACTTGAGCCATCTGTAAACACAGTTGTATCATCAGCTGCCATTGCTAATTTAATAGTAGAATCGCCAATTCGTATTCCCCTAACTCCTTCATCTGATCTAATCATAATGGCCAAAACTTCGATGCACGCTATAAAAAGGTATGGTGAGAGGGGATCTCCCTGTTTTAACCCTCTTTCTAATAAAAAGTCATTTGATATGTAATTATTATTTATAACAGACGATGAGCTGTTTTTGTACATGATCTTGATCCAAGATATAAAATTTCTGTGAAAGCCAAATTTCTCAAGTACTTTAAATAAAAAGGCCCATTCAACGCTATCAAAAGCTTTACAAATGTCCAAGTTAAAAATTGCACCCGGTATATTATGATGTGATGTATAATTTATCAAATCACATACCAATCTAATGTTTTCACCCATTTGTCTGTCCTTAAGAAATCCTCTTTGATCTTCATTGATGATATTGTTCATAACTTTCTGTATTCTGGTTGTTAATATTTTGCTTAAGATCTTATAATCTGCATTGAGCAAAGTAATCGGTCGGTAGTTTTTAATGTAATTTCTTTCTTTATCCTTCTTTAATATCAAGGAAATTAATCCATGTTGTTGGGTATCACTGAGTGCTCCTATATACCAAGAATGATTGTAGGAATTTAACAAAGGAATCTTGATATCGTCCCAAAACTTTTTATAAAATTCACAGGGGATTCCGTCTGCTCCTGGGCTTTTATTGTTTTTCATTGAATTGAGTGCTTTACTGCAATCTGCCATTAAAATTGTGCCGTCGCATTGTTCAGTTGTTTCTTCAGCCATTTTTGGAATATCCAGGTAGTTAAGGACATCGTCGATCTCTTTTTCCTGTGGCATAGTTGAGTGGAATAAATTTTTATAAAAATTACGAATTTCTTTTAAAATAATCTTCTGATCCGTTTCTGTGTGGTTATCAATTTTTAGTCTTGTAATAGATGAATTAGTCTTTCGTCTCTTTTCTAACCCAAAAAAATATTTAGAGTTTTTTTCACCATTTTCGACCCAATTAGCCTTGCTTCGAATGATACATCCTTGAGTAATACTTTGGTATAAATTATCGTATTCCCTCTGTTTTAGCAATAGATTGTTATATACCTGCTCAGAGTTGTCTGTTAACAATTGTGCCTGCAAATTATTTATGTCCTTTTCTATCTCAATCATTAATTTAGTACTTTGTCTTTTCTTCCTGCACGAGTAAGCAATTGTTTCCCCTCGGATTATGCATTTAAGAGTGTCCCAAAAAATATGAGGATTGACAGGATGATGTGAATGATCATATATGGTATTAGATATAACAGTGCGTATTAATTGAACATAATCCTCATCGTAGAGTAAGCTACAGTTTAATTTCCAGTATCCATTACCACGTGGTGTTGGATCAAGCTGTAGGTCCAAAGTACAGAGAGAATGATCTGATCTTATGCTTGGTACAATATTACAATCTTTAACTTTTTCCAGAAGCGTATTTGATAATAGAAAGAAATCAATTCTTGTGAAAATCTTTGTTGGTTTTTGTAAATGAGTATAGGCTTTTTCCGTAGGGTGAGTTAAACGAAATGCGTCGCATAAATTATATTCATTTATTATATTCAGTACGGTTTCTCTAGATTTTTGATTACTATGCTTCGGTCTACCACCATATTTGTCCAAGTCGTTATTTAATACAAGGTTGAAATCCCCTCCAATTAATAGGTGATCATACTCTAAATCATCTAAAACTTCAATCAAATCTTCAAAAAATTTAGGTTTGTCCATATTGGGTCCATATAGATTAAGAAGACCAATTTTTTCACCTCCAATAGTTGTTTCAAGAGCGATGTATCTTCCATTTGGGTCTGTCCGTATTTTGTGAATAATATATTTCGTAGATGTGCTGAATAAAATTGCTACACCACAGGATCTACTTGTATGATGGTTAAATACACCAGTACCTCCCCATTCCTTTAGCCATAAATCTTCATCTTTATCTATTCCATGAGTTTCTTGCAAGAAAATCATGTCGAATCTTTTTCTTTTGAGAAATAAAAAAATTTGCTTTCTCTTTTCAAAGTTCGATATTCCCCCTGTATTGAAGGAACCTATATTTAATGTTGCATTATCCATTAGTCGGAGACACTTGGTAACTACCACAAGTACATGAAGGGCCATTTTCTGATCCACTTATTATGCCACATGTACAGAAAGTTATAATTTGATTGCATTGGACATTATCACAATTTTTGAACATACCTTTTGCAGGTGGCATGATTAATGAAGAGCAATGACATTTGATAAAAACAGTTGAACAGGTTTTACAAGTAAGTAGATTTTTATCCCATTCACTTATGTAAATTTTTATTTTCATTCACTAATGTAACCATTCACTAATGTAAACATTGTCGCTTGTCGAGTCTGGCATATCCTCCACCACTATTAAAAATAGAATTACCACTTTCAGCCAGATATTATTCACGTCCTAAAAACTTCCACTTTTTTGGAGATACGAATCAAATGATATTCACGTCAATAAAGCGACTGTCAATTCACCAAACTTAATACATCCACTACATTTATTATGACAAAGAGCATGAAAACAGAATCTTTAAATGAATTTTATTCAATTTATTTTTTATCTTTTCAGGTCGAAAGTAAAAGACGCAACAATTGGATCTATTGGTGGTACGTATTGTTCAAAATTGAGTGAATTTGGCCGAAGTCAATCAATGACCAAATTTCATAAAAATCAAAATTTGGGTTAAAACAACGATTGTTTTCAAAAATAATTTCTCAAAAAAAATTTCCACTTATTTTAAAATATTCTTTTGTTGATGAATCCAAGGCAATAATACTCGCAAGGGAGCAATGCAGAAATGCCGTGGTTCGCCATATGGATAAGCCGTCTTATCGGCTTTCCTCTCCCCCGGGATAAATATGTAAATCCTATCCTATCCTATAAACAGACACTCCTCACTTCGGTACCAAAAACACCTTTTAGTTGAGCACCGCGTTTGCTGAATATCTCTGTATCTCTATCTCTGAATTTATAAGATATTGCCCGATGTCACATCGTGTTTTTTTTTTTTTATTGTGTTCTGACTGTTTTTGGGGGACGGGCACGTTCTTGTACGTATTTAACTTTATTATTAAGTTATGCCCGTCCTCCAGGTCCTCTGTATTTTGTTTGTTCCTTTGTTGTTGTTTTGTGTTTTGTTAGTATCAGAGTGATCAAATAAAATTGATTGATTGATTGATTGAAGATAGGCGATCTATGGTGACGAATCAAAGTGTTCCCATACTCCCACAGATGTTCCCATGATATAAATTTGGACAAAATATGGGTCCCGTAGACCTCAAAAATTTTGAAAAAATGAAATAAAAAGCTTTCTAGCGACTCTTCAGGTACAATTTTGGGCGCTCCATAGCTATGTGTACCAATATGGAGGCAACTAATTTTGTAATTTTGTTAAAGGGACTGAAACCTATGGACCTTTCCCCGACCTTTGACCCCCGAAAAATTCTTCCTATACTTTGCCATTGCAAAGTTTTCGGGGGTTATTTTAAGAGTGGTATCACGAGTTGGCGCCTGTAAAATGGGGTATTTGTTTCAAACCATCATTATAATTCGTCGCCTACATTAATCGGTTTTTCAAAAGTATCGGTAAAGAATTTCAGCCTAGTTTATCACAGCTATTTCTAGGATTTAGGATTTACATATTTATCCCGGGGGAGAGGAAAGCCGATAAGACGGCTCATCCATATGGCGAACCACGGCGTCTCGTCCGGTTACCATTCCAAGTCGGGTATGGGATTAGTTATATTGTTCGTTTTCGGAAGCATGGACTTGGTGGTGGAAGAAGCCGTAACGAACCAGCGGTTACGTGAACCACCCAACGACGGCCAGGAGTCCAGCAATCCTTTCGCACATAACCATCCCTGCATGGGATTCGAACCTGCGAACCCACGCAGAGCAATTAGAGGTGCGGTGGCGAGCGTATTCCTAACGCGTAGCCCGTTGAGCCACACCGCCGCGCAAGTTCTACACTAATTATTTATCACGGTAATTAAGTTAATACTCCTAAGAAGACAGAGTGATCATTGAATTATCTGATTTATATTTGAATTTCCGAAACACAACTGAAAACTAACAAATAGAGTTCAAAAACGCGAAAACGAGGTAATGTTTACGAGCACGCCTCAAAATCTGTCAGTGAGAAAAGTGTCTGAGCGGAAGCAAAATGGGAGCATTGTTACGTGCTTTTTGCATCTTGCTGATTGGTCTATATCACGAAGTAAACAAGTAAGTCGATGCTCGGGGAAAGGTCCACGGGCGGGGGTATATACACTTGGGTAACACAGACAGTCTCCGAACTCTCAATGGAACTAATATATCGAAAATCGAAATGAAACTATGGCCTGACCCTAACCTGGTACGCATACTATGGGAGTACCCAATTTGGAAATCGACTAGTCCAATATTTCCATAGAATACGATTTTCAACTGCAACAACCCCAATACCTGTTAATACATGTTCATTTAAAATTATCCCGGCCTTATGTTGCAAATTTAAAATATAATACGTTTGTTTCAGGGTCACAACCTCCAGCAATCGGTGGCCCAGAGGGACAAGCAGCCCTAGCCTGGCTTGGTGAAGGAGCATCTGGTAGTTCTCAGGTACCTGCAATAGGTGGTCCCGAACAACGACCTGCTTTACCTTGGCATGGAGAAGGAGAAAGAGGAGGTTTGTGTTAGATATGTTGTGATACATCCAACCTACGTCAATCTTAGAACCGTTCAATGTTTTGGGTCTCCTGAAGTACCAGTACACGCCGCAAGTATTTCTAGTTTGCCTGGCTCAACAATTTTTGCATATGTCATTCCTAACCCCCACCTGACTAGGCTATGTCATCCGAAAATTACATAACTTCGAAGTCGCTGTGACGTAATACGGCCCTCCAAAGTATACGGATAATCGGCAGACAATCATCCGAAATCGAGCAAGTTATTTCTGTCGTTTCTCGTCGAAACAATACCGGTAAGAGAGAGATCGCTGACGTTAGTGAATTCATTATAGTCCGAACAGATGCCATTTCGGACGATTGTAGTTAAACTTCAGCAAGCTCTAGGACGCGATCGTGACGTCGAAGTGATGTAATTTTTGGGTGACGTACCCAGGTGGGGGTTAGGAATATTATACTACTAACATCGTTATGCTACGCCCACTAGAAGTAATTGAGGCTGAGGGCGCATACTTCAGGCGCGGCGGTGTGGCTCAACGGTCTAAGCGTTAGGAATACGCTCGCCACCGCACCTCTAGTTACCTGCGGTTCGCAGGTTCGAATCCCATGCAGGGATGGTTATGTGCAAGAGGATTGCTGGACTCCTCGCCGTCGTTGGGTGGTTTACGTAACCGCTGGTTCCTCCACCACCAAGTCCATGCTTCCGAAAACAAACAATATAACTAATCCCATACCCGACATGGACTGGTAACCGGACGAGAGGCTGTGGTTCGCCATATGAATAAGCCGTCTTATCGGCTTTCCTCTCCCCCAGGATAAATATGTAAATCCTATCTAATACCCAAGGTTTTTTACAATCCCGAAATTTCTGATTTTTGAAGGAAACTTTGAAAGGCTTAGACTTCACTATATCAGCATCGCTGATTACAGATCTCAAGTTCAAATCTCATGGTCCTACCTCACCCAAGATGTAATAATTTGGCAATGCCCGTCTCGAAAGTTTTGTGGCCTACAAGTATTTCAGTTTTTACATTTTGTTGGATATCAATTACTGCTTGCACTCAGCGTTATTCAGAGCGCAAAGCTGTGAATAGGTTGGTCGGGTAATCTCATGAAAAGATTCTCAACCTTCCACATCTAAGCTTTCTTCTTATCAGTGGCCTCTTATCAGCCTTATTTGAAGGCGAGAAATATCTCATAATAAGTAGAATAAGGGGTCGTAGAATTTGACTTTCATTCATTGATATTGGAGTCGGAAACTGGATTCGTGTTTTAAAACTTCCAAGTGTTGAAAATAAAGAGAGAATTGTTATCGAAATCTCAGATCAATAATTATGATCAAAGAAAATATTTTCGACAGAAACTTTTAAATTATTTCACTAAGTTTTTAAAACCGAAAATTGAAGACAAAGTAACGTACTCAAAATCTGTTCTTTTGGTTTAAGCCAAAGTAATTTTATCACCCAGAGTCATTTTTGAAATAGTTTGTAACTTTGAAAGTAAGCTGGCAGTTAGTATGAAATTGACAGCCCATTTCTAATATGTTTTGTAAATTTTTTCAATGCTTTTTTTTTTGTCATAGCGCTCCATCCTGGTAGTAAGCCGACAGCCAGGATATAATTGACAGCCCATTTCTATTGCGTTTTTGTCCAATTTTTTTAATGCTACTATTTTGTCATAGCGCTCCATCCTGGTGGCAATCAACCTCTTGCATTGCCCGCACCAGAAGCGCAGATATCTTCATCAGGGAACGAACAGCCTGAAGGGATCGAGGCGACAGTGCCAACCAACGAACCAGAAATATTGGATCCAATAAAGCCGAAGAAAAAATCAAAGAAAAGGCCAAACAGAGCAGGTGAAAATAGCATTGTTATGCCATAAATACCCTGAAGATTTTATTGTCAAGTGGTGGTTCAAGTATTTTTAAAGAGAGCAAAATTCTAAATTCTGCGAAACCTTCCGAGAATATATTTTAGGCCGCCTCCCAAAGGCCTACAAAGCATCTCACAGAACCTTTCAGGTGAAACTGAATAATCGTCAAATTAATACACAATATAATTCTCTTTTAATAGGTAATTTGGATATGATGCAGATGATCGTATGATTTTTGTCATTTTACTACATCTTTTATTATATTCAGGTTCCAATCGAGATCCAGAGCCTGTTCCTACTTCACGTTCATCTGTGGAAAGACGTTTCATTGACGAAGAGACATTGAATGCTAATGTAACGACACCTAAAGTAGTTGGTAAGTGCCAATATTCGCCGTAGAAATATTCCCCAAAATTACCAATCAGTCTCAAAATTCAGCCTAGTCATATTTCATTTTACATCAGGGGTCGGCAACCTACAGCCCGATCCGGCCGCGGAGTACTACAATCTGGCGCGCGGCGCTTCTCAGAATTATAGTAACGAAACAGCTGTTTTGACGATTATACCCTTTATGTAACAAAATTTATTGTGAGAATAAATTATATTATAATCTAACAAGTATAAATCCAAAAATCAAAATTAGATCCTTTTTATCATAAGAATCAAATAATCAAAATGGCAGACATTTATAAAATTGAGGTACTGAAACTCATGCGCCAACATATTAATAATAAACTGCCTGCTTTTAAACACTATTTTGTCAAACAAATGAGTGTTCACTCTTATTCAACCCGTTCCACTGCCAATAGCTCTTACTATGTGCCTTGCTTTTCCACCAATCGTTCACAAAGCTCTATTAAATTCATCGGTGTGAAACTTTGGAATACGCTCCCAGACACACTTTGCTCTAAGATTTATAATTCATTCAAAAAAGCACTTAAATGTCTTAACTTAGATTCTTATATCTGTCAGTAGTCTGGCAGAGTTGGAATGTATCTCAGACTGTTTGAAACTCACTTTGTCAAATAATGTGTGTTATTTTTATTTGTCCATATTCTCATAATATGCTAGCACCATCTTCGTATTATTATTATTTGCTCCTCAATGCTGTGATATACTCCAATATTATGTGCTTTTCACAGAGCAAATTAACTCAAGTATGACTTTTTTCTCACAGGAGTAGCACTGGAGTATCTTACCTTTATTTACTCAAGATTCCTTAATAGGTTGGGTATTTATTCCCCTTATTGATTTCCATTACTGTTATATTATTTTTTATAGCGTTTGCTCCTTACAAGAGTCACTTCACAAAATAACTGTAATATGAACTCTCTCGACAAAGACACAATTCAATAATATTCTGTTATTTTTTTATAGTCATATTTCCCGTAACAGGCCTTTTCCAACAAAGTCAAAATTCAACAATTTTTGTTACATTTATTAATAGTCATTGTTTCCTCAACATGTCTTTCCACCTTTGTAGTTCAATTCATAGGTTATATTAGTAGTTCCACTGCTGCTGCAGGGAATTCCCCTAGTAGTCAACATCGTTATGCTACGTCACGTACGTCAGCAATTTCCTTGTTGTGGGCGTGCTCGCTGGAGCATGACGTTGAGTTGATCTAGTTAGTCAATACTTTATTTACTTCCTTCGTTCTCACGTACTTTTTAGTTCCCAAATTGTTTCAATTAATTTTGCTGATTTACTTCTGTATTGTTTGACTTAAGCTGCTTCTATAATGGTGTCGCTGACATGATGACTTTTGATAGTCTTTTCGCGGCCCCTCGTCCATTGCAGATCAAATATTGTACTTTTTTCTTTCAATGAATTTATTTAATTTTTACCATTTGTTTAAATGTACAATGTTTTTGCACGACGAACAATAAATAGCTGAATCTGAATTCACAATTACCTAATAAGCCTATAATTAAAATTAAAATTAGACAAATGGCAACAAAACGCAGAACTAAGTGCAAAGGGTTCAATGGCGCTGAAAATATTCAAAGAGAACTTTTTGAGATGCAATGAGGAAATAAATCTATATTCTATTCGAGAGATGTATCATTGCTTGATTTTGGGATTAGAAGTATCATCTGTTCGGTTTTCAACTTTCTAAAAATATGTGCTCCCCGCCAACCTTAACTTTGGCCCGCGAGCGACAAAAGGTTGCCGACCCCTGCCTTACATCATATAAAAAATATTCTCATGACTTAGCATAAAACAGCAACATTTTTGATGAAAATTCTGCCTCTCAGAATTCATAAATATTTGAATAAAAATATTGCCGCCTAGCGGTTTCCACCATCTTCAAGTTTTGAAAATTTGGAATTGATTGATCCAGTAGTCGAAACAACCAGCGTGTTCACTTTGTTTGTATTCGATAAAGCCTCAAAAATAGGGAATTCATAACACTCAAATAAATGTTATTGGCGAAGTCAGATGGTCATAAAATTATTTTTTTACACTTTTTGTCTTTTGCGAATCACGATATAAATATATATATAGATATTGATGAAAACGACTCCATTAGTGGTGACGTCATTAAATTTTAAATCCTTCTGCTTGAACCCAAAATTTGAAATTTTGTTCTGGTGGGGTTAATTGCTGCGAAAACACTACTCTTCACTTTATTTTGCTTCAAATACAAATACTTGATTTACATTCAGGAAGCCCCACTGCATCAGATCGAGAAATATCGGGAGCATTCCCACTAATTCCACCTGAAACTTTGAATAGAGGAGATGCAAACATTCCATCTGGAGCAAGACCCAAAACAACAGGTATAAATATCTAACTCAATTATATTTGGTTTGTCGGGTATTTCATTAGTCCTTATGCTCTATCACAACGGTGGCCAACACGTCGACTGCCACTTCCTGGGTAGTCGTTCTCGCCTGGTTGCGAGATTTTTTGATAATATACCTAGAAAAACTGCCTTGAACCAGTTTCATGCAGCGCGTGTTGTGTGTTTTTAAACAGGAATAATACAGTACTGCGCACCCGCTGAATTCGATATATACGTACTGTATAGTGCTTGATCCCGGGCGAGACTGACAGAGTATATTATTACGTAATAAAAGAAAGTTTTGCCGTTGCCGAATATCGTGTGCCTTGACTTGCGAACGATCTTACAATAACTTCTGCAGTATGCGAAAGTATTTGTTTCACTCGCAGTGGCATCAGAATGGCCCATTTTTTTATTCCCGGCGAGTGGATAATCGGACTCGACGGAAATTGTAAATTAGAAAGTTCGAGCTGTCATAGTTTGGGAATAATTTTTTTTCACCTGCAATGTTTTTTAAGGGGTTTTTATCACTTACAACTAAAAATTAAGCAGGTCTTAATAAGTTTGAATGGAGCAGTTACGCCGGGTACAATTACATATTGAATTTAACAAATTAAATGGGACGTAGAAAAATATGGGGTTTTCATTAAGAATGCGCCCGAAGAATTGAGCTTATTGGCAGTGGCGGAATTACTTGTATGCGTGTGTGCAATTATCGGAATATTCAAATTCATTTGTTGTTGTGTAAGATCTCATTACCGATCAGTCGATCGCGAGCTATTTTTGAGATTTTAGTCGATCGCAGTCGCAAGTAAGTTGGCCTCCCTGCAGTCCATCACATTGAACTTGGCTTTGTGCAGGCATATTTTCACAGGTAGAAGAACATTTATTGAACGTTAATTAATTTTAACATGTTACGGTAGTTTCGGCATCCATTTCTGCATTCCATACCCAATCGACACCGGGCAGGAAATTTGAACCTGTCTTTTTAAAATATCTCTGGACAACGATACTCATACCATTGCATTTTCAAACTAATTTTAAATATTGAAACACCATGCGTCGTTCATGTTTATTTATACAGTTTCGCACAACACTACTCACTGTGCCGTTGCTTTTTCATTTTTTTTTGTTATAGGTTCGTTGCACCTAGGTTTATCGTAAATAAAATGGCGCCATCTTGTGGCGGTTTGTTATTCACTCATTTTTATCCAATTGTTTATCCCTGAGTATTTGCTGATTTTTAATAGTATCATTCAGTATATCCACTTCTCCAATTCACTTCTACAATATCTCTATCTATTTTTTCAACCCAGGTTCGAAAAGATATATCTATGTAGCGATCTCAATGAAAATGATTCCATTAGTCTTGACGTATGTGATTTCTAAATTCTTTCTGCTTGGGCCCAAAATTTGAAAAATAGCTGGAGCGCGGTTTGTCAAGGTTCGAACAGTAAACCTCGCTTTATTCTGCTTCAAATTCAAATGCTTGATTTACATTTAGGAATCCCTACTGCATCAAATCCAGAAACACAAGAAGCATTCCCACTGATTCCACCTGAACCTTCAAATAGACGAAATGAAAACGAAACATCTGGAGCAAGACCCAAAACAACAGGTAGAAATAGGCACCGGTAACCGGTGCCGTATAGCAGTGGTTCCCAACCACCATGCCGCGGCATACTAATGTGCCGCGGAATGATTATTGGTGTGCCTCGAAGAGATTTCATTTTAGAATTCATTTCAAGGGATTCCGATTTCCAATGACAGTTGAAAGTTAGCATGTCAATTTACAGACGAGCATTTTAATTTGAAACCTTGAAAGAAAATGAGAGTAAACTAAGTGTGTGTGTGCGATGCTGTAGTGGATGGGTGTTCAGCACTTGTGGAGTGTTTGTGCGCTTGCAGGACTATCGACACCGAACTCTTGGGCGGGCACTTTCCATAATATTTGTGGGTCGAACTTGGATTGCCAGCTAAAAAATAAACGCGTCGTTTATTGTTAGGTAACAATGACCTTTCGATACCATTCTCTTGAGTATTAGCTTGTCATTTTACTACTCATATATCCAGTACACAGGCCGCTTTGCTGGACACAGAACTCACACGTCACTAAACCGATCCCTTAAAATCCGCGAGAATTACCCAACGGCTCTTGCTAACAAAGAGAAACGACAAATTTTGGGAGTCAAATTTGGTTATTGTTTCAATTCTTAGTTTCGTATAAAGCGCATTAGAAATGTCAATATTGTCAGCTTAAAATTGGGACAGTTAATAATTTCAAACGGGGATGAGGCGATGTGTTGTGTTCATGTGCATCAGCACAGTTTTGGTCAACGCTACCCAATATGGTATTGCATTTTATTTTTTTGTTCAAGTTTTGTTTCACCTACCTTATATGATCGTATAGGCCGAGTTTAAAACTCAAAAAAAAAGTTGCCAAACTAAGGGACCGTCTTATACGCGCATGACTCAGATTGCACCAAAAAATCGGCTCATTCGCGTATCAGAATTTGATCACGCAACGAGATGATATTATGCTGACTTGCCGGTAATTCCAAAAGCTTCAAACCATACCAAGTTCTCACGATAAAAAGCTTCGCACACACACACACTCGCTTGTGAAAGTGGATTGTCTTATCATACAGCTGATTGTACAGGCTGTGATTGTTTGTTTTCGCTTGTATTTCTTTTATATAACAGCAACAGAGTCGATTTACAGCCAGTTGTTTTGTGGTGAAAACTTTATTATTTGGTGCACTTTCGCCGTAGAGGCAATTAACGGCGCACGACTTTTAATCACCTTTACGATATGGATATGTTATCTGTTGAGGGGCGCTGATAAGGACTTTTATCAAAATTGACCGCGTTGTGGACGATCAAAGGAAATTGTTTTATGCTGACTCAGGGACTCTCTTTAACTCCCGACAACAATCCCTTCCATTAATACAAATCACGACGCATGAAAAGCAATATAGACTTTATTAACATGAATTTACAAGTAAGAGTTACGAGTAAGGATCTACGGCCGTCGCTAACAAACAGAAATGATAAACGAAATATTTGTGTTACAGCAATTTTGTTTTCTTTCCGTGCCTTTCTTAAGGCATCTGGCGTGTTAAGATTCGTAGTGATTTATAGGAATGTGTTAATACAGCGTTATTTCTTTCCTTGAAACGGACAAGGAACGAAATTAATCGTCGTTGTGGCGATCAAAGGAAATTGTTTTATGCTGATTCAGGAACTCTATTTTAAACTCCCGACACAATCATGACACATTGAAAAGCAATATAGACTTTATTACCATAAATTAACAAGTAAGAGTTACGGGTAATCCACCTATGGCCCTCGCTAACATGCAGAAGCGATAAACGTGAGAAATGTTTGCGTTACAGTAATTTTGTTCTTTATTACGTTTTTCTTGAAGAGTCCGGCGTGTAACGATTCGTAAGACCGGCTTATGTGCGATTTTTTATAAAATTGTTGTTTTAAGGCCGTTTTTATGGAGTCGGCCTATTCTCGATATATAGGCGTAATTTCGGGAAAATACGGTAAGTGAATTTTAAATGAAATCCACCATGTGTCGAATTAGCGTTCATGCCCATAGCAACACTACCCAATATGCCATTTCATTTCATTATTTTTGTTCAAGTATCCGTTGCATCTAGTTCAGCTTTAAATGAAATTGTGCCACCATGTGGCGAATTATAGTTCACGTCCATTAACACAGTTCGGGTCAACACTACCCAATATGGCTATTCCATAGTTTTTCATTTCTGTTTCAAATCTTGTTGCACTTAGGTAAATTTGAAATGAAATTGCGCCACCATGTGACGATGTATTGTTCACGCCTGTTAGCGCCAGTTTGGGTCAAAGCTACCCACTATGATATTGCATTTCATTTCTTTTTCAAGTTTTGTTGCATCTAAGTAAATATCAAATGAAAAAGCGCCATTATATGGCTAAATATCGCTCACTGCCATTAGCACAGTTTGGGTCAACACTACCCAATATGCCAGGGGTGGGCACAATTTTTCAGTATAGGAGCGCATGCTGCAAGTCAGAACTTTAAAAGAGCCGCAGAATTTGTGAATTTATTAATATTATCAAAATACCATGAACAGAAAAGAAATTCACACTAGAGTCTAATAACAATAAATAGATAAACAAGGCAGCTATGCTCAAATATATGCACAATTTGAGCTCATTTAATTCGTGTTTCCTTATAATAGCTGATTTAGGAGGGTAGTCTCGTAAGAAGTTTTCATGATTTGTTTCATGGTGCCGTTTAACATTGCTGACTTTATTCTGACTTAGTAGCTTATGACAGATTAAGCACAAAGGTTTATTCTCCTGACTGGTAAATTCGTACGTTCTTCCCATTCTGACTTGACAACTCTGTTTTCATCTTCGTACTTTTGTTTTTAATTGAGGACATATCGCACAGTAACTCGGACTAACTAACCGCAATCAAGCTGCAATACCGCCGACGCATCAATAAACATTGACCATTGTGACGAAAGATTTGCTGACTTGATTGACTTAAATTAAAAATTCAACGCTACAGTGATTTTCATGCTAAAACATAATTTATCCTAATCATTGACGAAAACTTCTTTACGGCTTTTTAATAAATTAAAAGAGTTTAGATTAAAGTTTTTCTCTTAGTTAAAATTTGGATAATAATTTATGTTAGCGAGAAGAGCCGCACAAAAAGTCTGGCGAGCCGCTGTGTGCCCACCCCTGCAATATGCCATTGTTTTTCATTTCTGTTTCAAATTTTGTTGCACTTAGGTAAATTTTAAATGAAATTGCGCCACCATGCGGCGATGTATTGTTCACGCCTGTTAGCGCCAGTTTGGGTCAAAGCTACCCACTATGCTATTGCATTATCAGTAAGTAAGTAAATATATATAAAGTAAATATCAAATGGAAGGGCGTCATCATGTGGCTAATTATCGCTCACTGCCATTAACACAGTTTGGGTCAACACTACCCAATATGACATTGCATTTCTTTTTCAAGTTTCGTTGCATCTAAGTAAATATCAAATAAAAGAGCGCTACCATGTGGTGAATTATTGTTGGCGTCCATTAGCACCGTTTATGTCAAAGCTACCCACAATGCCATTGCAATTCATTTCTTTTTCTAGTTTCGTTGCACCTAATTAAATTTCAAATAAAAATGCGCCACCGTGTGGCAAATTGTCTTTTTCGCCCATTAACACAGTTTGGGTCATCGCTACCCACTGTGCCATTGCATTCAGTTTTGTTGCACTTATGTGAATTTTCAATGAAATTTCCCATCATTTGACAATTTGTAATTCGCTTCCGTATATCTGTGCGTATACTCAATCGTATATCTCTGGGTATTTGCGGACTTGTCGTATAATATATTATATTCATTGTATTCCCAGCTTCAGTTTGTTCTGTTGTTTAGTTCTTGTGTTGGGTTCATTAAACCTAAATAATTTGTCAATACCATTCGTATTTCAAAGCACCGAAAAACAAGTTCGATATTTTCCTTTGTCAACTTCACAATATGCTCAAAAACTTTTTATTCTTTAACAGCCTACAATGTAATATGTGCCCCATTACCGAATTAGGTTTTAAACCTTCTGTGTCCACGGCTTCCATTTCCCAGTAAAAATTCATTGCCCATGTTTTTTTACTTTTGTATAATACTTTATTTTCTCAAGAAAAAAATTAACTTGAATATGACTCTGCGTCTCCTTAATTGAGAGCGTGAAAACTTGCAATAATGGTGCCCCTAGCAGTATTTTCCTCGTGAATATATCAATTAAACACTGGTTCGGCTATGTCTGTGCTATTCCACAAATTCCTGCAAAAGTCATCGAACAGCTTTTTTGACCTAATTTTTCAATTAATAATGACAGATCAACAGAGTCGACCAACAGCTGGACAGATAGAACCAAGGAAGTCTCTGCCGCATCCAGAACAGATTGAAACGAGGAATTCCAGGGACAGTCAATCAGGTATTTAAATTATAAAATAAAATATTGGAAACTGAAGTGTCAAAAATGTTGCTTGCGTAATCGTCGAAGTTCTGTTATATGAAATTATATTGGAATACATCGACTGGAGGAACTTTTCATTGTCTTGTAACATCTAGAATGAATATAAAAGCTTTATAAGTAAAATAATTGATATTGTGGAATGAACATGTCTATATAACAATAAAGTAATGAAACAAAGAAACAAAACCCTCGGACGCGTCGCTGGTTAATGATGCATGAATTTTATGAAGCGACTCTGTATACGCTGTTTACGCACATAAGATTGATCTCAGCGTAATATAGCTATACTAAAGTTATTGAGAATAAGAAATGGGGCGTTCAATTGTCTTTATTTTCTCATGCCGGAATGTTTTTTTGTCAAATAATTCGAAAATAGGCCCGCATTATTACCTCATAACTGAATCTGGTGTTTTCGTCGAAATGTTTATTTGTTCTTATTGAAATTTGACTAAGAGGAAAGGATATTTGTGAATCGAATATTAAATACTTTTTTAAAGTTCAAGTTTGAACTAAATCCGAAACAAAATTAGAAAAAAAATTTTCTGGACAAAGAAACGAATTGCTTATATTTACCACATGCCTGACTTGACTTTTAATGTTTGTATTTTATTAGCTCTCGATCCCTCTGTAAGTTCGGCCAGTCATGAACCGCTTATACCAGGACCACGAGCATCACTTTCAACCAACGAACAATTACAAGCGGCAGTGACGCAAGAGCCAGCCAATGAGCAGGTGTTGGATTTCCTAAAACCGGAGAAACGTACCAGCAGAAAAGGTATTAAATATATTCACTTCATTTCTTGGCAAGATTTTCACCAAATATACAATGTACAAAATGCTATACAAGTAGAACTCTTGAGCATGCGTTTTGCAAAGCAATCGCTCTGTAGTTGTCTTCTCCTCGAGCATCGATATCGCTGAGCGATTGCGACTGGTGAGTTGTCTGCCTCTCGTTGCTCGGTAGTCGAATTGTCTTCACCTCGAGCACCGATGACGTCACGTCGCAGAGCAGTTACTCGACTGGTGAGTTGACGGCCTGTCGGGCAACTGCGACCATAGACTACTGAGCTCACATTCATAAATATTTAAGTGTTACTGTGATATATGAAAGTTTTATTATACTTAAAGGTGCTCATTCAAAACATTTAATACTAATAAACTTAAAAAATTTATACGCACGCAGTCCTATAAATCTCAAGTAAAAGTAGATTGCTGGTTAAGGCGACACTCGCCGATTACTCAGGAGTAATATCGAAATCGTAGAGCAATTCTGCATATATCTCATGATTCGGTCACAAAATAAATTCTTCAGGCACTTGATATAACGTATTCATCTACCTGAATTCTTTCAAGGAATTCTCCATATCAGTATTGCAAATGAAACGAATTTATTTATATTTTCAGATCGACCATCGGTGCGATTTTCACCTCAAGATGAAGTCGAGGAGAGAAGTTTTGTTGGTGAAGATACTGATGTAACAATTCCTAAAGCTATTGGTAAGCACTTATGGCTAATAAATATTCGACCAAGGTATTATCGCAGGTAGTAATTTTGCCTCAACTGATATGAAAAATTGCTGTGACCAGAACTGCCATGACAAGCGCTAAACGAGGATATTGGTGAGAGACCTAAGACTTATTGAAAGTTAGGAAATCCCCCAAAACAGCGCTCTTACTCCATAGTGACACCTTGTGTCCCATCACTAATGAATTGATACCTCGCTAATTATACGATATAATTCATCCAAAATCGATAGGCTTCTGATACGAGCTATGATGAATGCACATGCAAAATCTGGAGCAGATTCAATCTCGCTTTCGTGAGATATCGCGTTCAACAGACAGACATACAGACAGACAAATACCTATACAACATAAGTATTAAACCGATCGCTCTCTCTTTACAAAATTTTACAATAGAAAAAATTTCATGTTTCACTTTTCAAGTTTAAGCTCATCCATTGATATTCAATATTCAGGAAGTCCTACATCACCAAGTCCAATATACGACCGAGATTTGCAGCAAGCAATTCCGTCTCCTGGAAGAACGGAGCATCAACATAGGCGCAATGTGAACATACAATCAGGAGCAAGACCTAAAACTACAGGTTAGCTTTCACGTTTATTTTCGCTTTTTCTTCATTCCGAAGAAGGCTCCAGACAAGCAACAGCAACACTTGCTGACATCTGTGGCAGGCAGATCTGTGCCTTATCGTTTCCCTTACTAGTCTTATAAATGCAAAGCTGATTACAATTTGACAACTCTTTATGTTGTTCACTCAATAATATTTTAAATGCGAGGGTTTATAAATATTTTGACTAAAATATTACCACACTCATTTCTATTAATCAAATACCACAATTGAAATGGACTCCAACGTCAGTCGTAATATCATTCATTGAGGTTTTACAATTAGTATTTCGTTCACAGGCGCCGGTATGCGAGTCAGATATTTGCCAGAACAAGATGAAACAAGTGAAGATGAAACATCTGAAGGTGACTTGAGGCATTGACTATAATTTCTCTGTTGCAATATTCTGAATCTGGTTGAATTGTTCGCCGAACAGTTAATAAAAACAAACTTTCTAACATGTTACAACAAAATCAGGAAATATCAGGTGTTGGATTCCCGCTCCGTTATTCCCAGTCATTGTGTTTAGCTCTATCGTCCTATTGTCTAAACCAGACATGGACCGAATCCGGCCAGTTAAGTAATTCAATCTGGCCTGCCTGATGCTGCAACAACCAAACTGAAATCAAATTTTGATGTTTTAGCTGAAGTAACTCAAGAAATTTGTTGACGATTGCGATTAAATTTATTTTTTACCACCACTCATTGTTTTTCACCTTTGCTCTGTAGTACTGTAAATAGTGTTCATAAAATGTAACTTTTTACTTCACACATTCATGGCCCGCCAGTCTACGTAAACACATTTTTTGGCGCTTTGTTTAAAAAACGTGCCCACCCCTGGTCTAAACTGACGGGCCGATCTGGTTGGAATTTCTCATGTGGGTCATACAGGCAATGTGCGTTTCACCAAAAGTCTGTATTAATGTTTCGCTGCCATGGCAGCAGAGTAAGGCATCGGCGGAGATCCATACTTACTCCCACCAGCTTGTTGAATCTTATACTTACCATTTGCTTAGATTTCTCGATATTGAATCAATATATTTTTTTCTTTAATGTTGCGTATTCTGTATTATAGGAATCGATAGTGAAAACGAACTATCCGACATTATCAAAGATTTTATCAAATATAAAAAATACGTCTCTGAAGAAAAATCGCTGTTTACAAGAAAATCAGAAAGAAGAAAGTCTAGAGGTATGTTTAACAAGTTAGTGTGCATTTGCAATGATTGTTGCTTGAACACCACAAAGCCAAATAAACAAATTTCATTACTCCTGTATTATGTGAACCAAGATGGCGGACACCGTAACGTAGTATGTGTACCAGGTTAGCGTTAGGCCATAATTTTATTCCAATTTTCCTTATTTTAGTTCTATTACGAGTTCAGGGACAGGCGAAGTGACTCCCGTAGTATTTGTACATGAAATTATGACCTAGCCCTAACCTGGTACACATACTACGTTCCGGTGTCCGCCATCTTGGTTTGCATACTACAGGAGTAACTAAATTTCAGCTTTTAATAAATCCTAAAAATTGATCAGTATGACAGATAAATAATTATCAGTATGAGTGAATACCTCGACCTTTCCTATTTAAATTTGATGAAACATTCACCTGTCTAGTTAAACACCTATTATTGAAAAATTAGCGATTAGTTTTCTTTTGCATTACAGTTGGAATGGTTTGAAACTAAATCACTGAGTTAATGGAGAATATAAATTGTATACAATCGCTGAAATTTGGCAGAAAGTACACTGACCATAAATCTTCTTTCATTATTTGTCTTTTATGTTTTAAAAGCTTCGTATTCAAACACCTGCCATCAACTTGCAGTCATGCTGATCTTTCTCTTTGCAGACCGAAAGACCACCCATCAAGCGCCAACTACATCGAGATCTCGGTCAACGGGTTCTCGTCGCCAGAGAAATGAAAGACAGTTTTCATCGACAAATCGTGTGAGATCAAAAAGTGCAGGTTGGTTTCATCTACAGTGTTACTGTGGTACAGTCAACTCTTACTTTGGTACAATCTTGATGAATTTTAAAAATCATGAACTCTTAATTTGAGATTCGACGCTTCACATCTTATCTTCTGAAATTTTCAACATTTACAATTCATCGTAATTGTCATTGGTCCGATTAAGGACGAATTGTAGTCATTGAAACGGCTTCTGTCGCCTACTTAAAAATTCGATGCCACTCATCCAATGATACACCTATTGCGACTCAAGGCTAGAGAGATAAATCATAATATATTTTGTAGAATAAAAATTATTATGTTTAGAATGTTTCATTCGATATGTTCCAACATCCAGCCTTTTCGGTTACCAAAAGTTGTATTAATTTCTTGAACCTTTTTTACATTGAATAAAGAAAATTCATCCCTTGAATATCAAGAACAATCAAATATAGCACCAGACTAATTATAATGAAAGTTTTACGCTATTTAATGTTACAATTTGCCCATAAAAAAATATTTTCTCCTCAACCCCATTTTCAAAAATTGAAAATTTGAAATAAAATAACATGGAGTACATATAACAGGATATCTAAGTAAACAGCTGAAAACAAAAAATATTTTTCTGTTGTTGTTATAAACTCTTATTAATAGGATCTGTTATTCTTATCTAAAATATTTATTTCTGTTTACAGATGCCAGATATTTGTGGAGCTTGGATGAAGCAAGCGGAAGTGGAGATTGTGGGGAATCGATACATGTTATTGATCCTGCAAAAGGTGAGTTTGTTGGATACTGCTTGTAAGCAACTGTAGAATAATATTAATTTTGAAGCCTCTTAAATACTCATTTTGAAAAATAAATATATATTTTGCAACCTTACGACATAGGACACACAAAGTTCACGATGTAACTTACTTAATGCTCTCTCAGATAGTAATAAGAGACAATTCTCCACATTTCCTATTTCTTACCAACACATGAACCTCACACCTGAATAGCAGATAAATCGATAAACTATGTGATGCCAAAGGCGTCCTCATGTCATAACACCCCACCCATAATGAAGTGAATCGGCAATATTTATTAAAAGCTAACTTTATAAATAATGTCGTTTTTTCATTTACAGAGAGTGACAGTGAAAGTGAATTATCCAGCATTGCCAAAGACTTCGTGGCCTACATAAAACATAAAACTAACCCAAAGTTTTCAAGACAGATAAATAAAAGTTATTTTGAAGGTGAGGCCCAAACAGACTTTTTAAACTCAATTAGTTTCTGCGTTACAACTTTGTTTATTTGTCTGTGTGCTTAATACCTGTTATCTTTTCATTGGGGCTTGAATTGTTTTTGTTAATATTTTTTTTACTCAAAATGGTTTTGGTCGTACAGCGGGCTAGGATGAGTTTAGCTCATCCCTTTCTTCCTAGACCAAAATCATAACTGGGAAGTGATGGGTCATTTTGAAACGTTGTTGAGATGCCTCATCGTACAAGTTGTAAAATATTTTTCATACTAAATGATTTTATACTGTTTATATAATTTCCAACTATTTTTAGACCGATCCTTCACCAACAATTCCTCGCAAGAGTGCCAAGTCAATCTCGATCGTGAAAGAGACGGAATGAACCCAACAGATCAGACACAACCGAGTGGTAGAGAACTTCGTGTAAAGGAACGCGATACAAGTGACAAACATTTACAAACAGATGATCCAAACTATAATAAAGAATATGAGACTTCGGTATTGAAAATGACTGAGATTTACAAGAAAGAACGGGATATACAAACATTAAAAGAGTTTAAGCCTCTCTTGCCTTTCATTGAAATTTTCTGGACTAAGATTTTATTTAAAATGACAATGGCTGGTTACAATCGTCCATCCGGGGCTCCGGAAAAACTATGGTCAAATTTCACAGATGAAATTACTTGTGATCGAGGTTCAGAAATAACAATGAAACCGTACATTTCAAAAATAAAAGACATCATGAAACTAGGCGAAGAATTCATTTCCAGCGGTAAATACATTCATGCTATAGTCGCGTTCTATGCAGCTGCTAAACTTCACCGACAAAGCGGAAAAGGCAATGAGTCAGTGAAAGATGATATATGGACTTGCTTCGATAGAGCAGGGTTTGTTGCCGAAAAAATGCAAAAGTCTGTGCAAACTGCAAATGTTGCCAAGAATCACGTGATTCCAATTATGCATGAAATGACTGACTTTCTGAAGCCTATTCACAGTCAAAGTCAATTTGCAGAAGAACTGGAAAATAAATCAAAAGAATTTGTCGAAGAGAAGAAATTCATTTCAGCCACAGTCGCATTATACGTCGCAGCCAAACTGCACAAGAAGACAACTGAAGGCGATGACTCAGCTCGTGGTGTTCTGTCATGCATTGAACAAATAAGCTTAGTCATGGAAGAAATGATAAAGCAGAAACAAACAAAAACTTTAAGTCACGTGATATCACTCATTACTGAAATGATAGATTTCTTTGAATTGATAGAAATAACAAACTACAGTCAGTTTATCAATGAAATAGAAAGCAAAGCCAAAGAATTCGATTCAGAGAAAAAGTTTATTCAATCTGTAGTTTCATTCTACGTCGCTGCTAAACTGCATGGACTTGATAATAAAGGAGATCAATCGGTGAGAGGAATTGAACAATCTGTTAACAAAATACGACTCGTCGTTGAAAAGATGACAAAACAACATTCAATGAGAAATATTGTCAAAGATCACGTGATACCACTCATGCATGAACTGTTAGAGATTGTACAAACGATAAAAGGTTCGACTCAAAAAGTCAGAGTAGAGGGGGAGGCTTGTTGTTTATTTAACATCGGTCTTTGCTACGATGACTGCGATGAATATCAAGAATATGCGAACATAAACAATTCCGCTATTATACTCATAGAAAGGGAACTTGAAGAACCTCAAACATATCAGATATATGGACTTTGTCTTAATAATGCAGGAGCAGCGTATGGTAAAATGGGAAATATAGAGAAAGCGGTTGAATTGTATAAAATGTCGTTGGAAGCGAAGATGAATGCTGAAGATCATTCATGTGATAAAGATAAGAATGAATCTATTGAATTAACAAGAAATAATTTGAGAATTGTTGAATTCAAGTTGCCCAAATAGGGTTATCGGTTTAGTGAAATTAAGATCGATCTAGTGTGGACCGAAGATGAATCGCACTATGTTGGAATCGCAAAGAACTCGAATCCCATCGCCTCACCCAGTGTGTCAATAAGTCCGAGACAGAAAGATTTCGTCTATATAATAATAGAAGCTTTTTATGTATCAGTGGATGCTCGCACAAAGCCTTGTTGCGAGCGAAAATGTAAAAGTATGAAAAAAATAATATCTATGTATCTATGTATGTATTTAATATCTATTTTGTATTTAGTGATAAAGTATTCGATTAAATTTTCAAAGTCTGCTTGAAATAAATTTAAGAGTTGAAAGAGCACGGCATATATCTTGATGCAGCAATCAGATTCTTGTGCTAGGATAAAACTTCTATATGATTAGATTTTATCGTGATAGCATTAAAAATTCAAAAAATCATTTGACATGAAATACAAGTGATTTTTACGCTTTTGCGATTTACAGCAAACTTTGTTTTATGGTTATTTATCAATTTATATGAAATTCGAGTTTACTTTACAATTTGTTTAACAGTGATTTACTGATCTCCATATTACCAATACGCTGTTCATTGTATTTTATTATATTTTGTAAAGCTCTCATTTTGTAAATGAGCAAAACCATGTGTGGTCCATTCTAAAATTCGAATCCAGATCTTCCCGCTGACACTAGATTTTCTTCATATCCTTCCTACTTCGAGGGGAGATTGTTGACTCTAAGTCCGATTGACCTCTTAGTTCTGAACGCCAGAATACCCATCCCTGACTTAGGAACTCCAAAAATAGGATTCGTCCCAAACAATTATAAAAATTCAAATCTGTTTCTCTAGTTTTGTTTCTTGTTTGCAGCGATTTTAAAATCGAGATTTGTCGTTACAGCGGACTATGAATAGCTCGATTGAAAGTCAACAGTTACTCCAGGTCAAGTTAAATATTGCCAACTGTCATGAGATTTCTGATTTCGTTTTGGATATTTTCAACCTCCCAAATTACCTTTTACAGAGGATTTTGTTTTCTTTTCCATATTATCGTGTGTAAATATATTCAGTGTTGTTACTGAACTTTTTAAAATCGTTCAGGTATTTTTGTAAACCCCTAAATGTTTAATTTTAGAGGAACATTTTTTCTTCTTCATTTTTATAAGTTTATTTTGTTTTTAATGTTTGATTTTTACAAAGATTATTCAGATTAAGAATGTGTGTCAATAAATTCAGTGTTGTTAAAATCGTTTTAGATATTTTTGACCCCCCAAAGTAACCTTTCACGGGAATTTTTTTTAATTTTTTTATGATTGTGTGTAAATAAATTGTCACTGAGCTTCTAGTAATGATTTTAGGTATTCCCCCCCCCCCCCCCCCTACCTCTTTAATTTTGGATATTGGATACATTACCAAATTTTCCAACTTTCATTGTTTCAGAATTTCACCCAGGTTGATAGGAAAAAGCGAGCGGTAATTATAATTCTGTTACATTCTCTTCATGTTTAGAACCCATCGCCGAGTTAGCCAGCCCCTCGCAACAATTTTATATTTTTTAATTTTGCATAAAAACTAACTTCAAGATTTCGTTACTTTCAACTTTTATTGTAAATATGTCATTAGCTTCGTTGCTCTTATGAGGTGCTGAATGGTCATCGTTGTTCGCATATATACATATACAAATATATATTCTTTGTGCATGAAAAGAGTGTCATTCTATGTAAGACATTGTTGTGCGCAGTCGCTCGTGAATCAAACTCATTTCGGACTAAAGTTACTGGCGATCAGTGAGGTGCCAAAAGCTACTGAGATTATAACAAATTATAGCAATTAACTGTGCATTAGTAAATACCCATCGACCGGCATGAATCTTTGTGTCTTGTTGGTCACACTTGCACCAAATGTATGAGAAGTCACAGCCAAACGTGTATGAGAGCTGAGTACTTGTGTGGAAAGAATAAGACGAAACTTATTCCATGGAATGAAGCGTTTATTTATAATTCACATTAATTCCAAGCATCTGAAACAAATAACTTGCTAGCTAATCCCACACCAGACTTGGACTGGTGACCGGACAAGAGAAGCGTATAGCTGAGTGGATTATGAGATCTTTGGGTTCAAGTAGGGTTCTGCCTTCTCATAACCTAATGCAGATGAATTGCAAAATACTAAAGCTGCACTTATTTATCAAATATTATATTCAGTGTCTGAAAGACTTTCAAGTGACCTTACAGTATCAGTAGTTTATTTTTACACATGCCGAAAATACACATTGTATAGTCATATTCGTCTGGTTGATTCCTACCAGTGACTTCCCTGGGTCTTTTGAGCTCTATTCTGTGGCTCAAACTTAGTTTTTTTTGTATTTTATTCGATTCTTCACCACTTGTCACCTTAAACTCACGCTCGGCCATGGGGTAGATGACATATATCTATATAAGTTTATACCGCTTGCCTTAATTATCCCAATTTCAATATGCAGTTATTGCAACACTTATCCACATGGATTTATTAGTTTGGTTATTAAATTTCTCGCCTTTCACTGTTTCAGAATGCGACCCAGGTTGATAGGAAAAAGTGAGCGGTAATTATAATTATGTTACATTTTCTTCATGTTTAGAACCCATCGCCGAGTTTGCCAGCCCATCGCAACAATTTTATATTTGTTCATTTTGCATAAAAACTGACTTCAAGATTTCGTTACTTTCAACTTATAACAAATTACTGTTAACCACATTTATTATTCGCAATAAATTTCAGAAAATCTTGTTTTTGGCCAGTATTTGAAGCCCCATAAATCATAAAGTCCCGCCTTGTTGCCTTCAACTTTTATATATAATACTTGTCACTATTATTGCTATTCAAAATTACTGTTAAAAGTTGTCGGAACTTTGCGGATCATATTCGAATTCGGCATCGAATCATTAAGTTCGCACGAAATACAGCAAAATCTGATTTTTCGTCATTTTTTGAAGGTCCATATTTCGTTAAGTTTTGTTTTGCTGATAATCATACTTTGGTGTTAGACACGTGATTTGTACATGTGATCGAAATCGTTGTCGGAAATTGAAGCAACATATTCGAATTCGGCCTCGATATATCGAGTTCGCATCAAATTTTAGAAAATCTTGTTTTTGCCGGTATTTGAAGTCCCATAATTCATAAAGTCCCGCCTTATTCCTTCAACTTTTATATATAATACTTGTCACTATTGATACTATTCAGAATTACTGTTAAAAGTTGTCGGCATTTTGCGAATCATATTCGAATTTGGTCTCGAACCCAATAGTTTGCATGTAACATTGCAAAAATATTTTTTCGATATATTTGTGTTCCCATCAAATGTAGCCTTTTTTATTCTGTATTTTTTTTTATTCTGCAAGCATATTTTCATACGTATAACAAACATAAAACAAATTTTGACGATCGAATAGACTGGTTGGAGGGTGAGAATGTCATTACATGGGTTTTTCCAAGCTTTTGAGCTACTCAAAGTCAAAACAAGATAAAAGAATTCACTTAGATATGGCAGTAAAAAAAATCATTAAACTTATCTTATCGAGATCTTCTTCCTTAGTTATGGATAGAGTGTTAATGTCCTTGTTTTATTTTTATCAGCACTTTGCCATTCGATGTCCATAAGAAGGCGTAGCCACATCGTTTTTTGATCATTTTTCCAATTTCCATTACCAGTTTATCAGTGTCATCATTTTCATTTGGGGCAATACCATGGAATTCTTAATTGTCCAGTCTAGATCGACGCTCATGTTCCTCGATTTTTTCTGTAGCGAGAAATAATTCGTCTTCTAAGTCAGTTACTTTCTTCTTTCTTTCTTCTAGATCTCTTATTTTTTTGCTGTAAAGTGCAAGTTTGTCATCAGTTACTTTTTGCTTGGCGATTATTTCATCATATTTTCTGATTGGAAATTTTGGGATTCTCTGATTGAAGCCTGTTCTCGTTTTGTTTCTTTCAGAGACACTATTTGTTCATCCATACATTTCATCCGTCCATTCTTTTAACCCAGGACTCATAGGTATGTATTCAGAGGAAAAGTTTTCAGAGTTGAAATTTTCAGCAAGGCATTTAGCAATTAAAGATGGTAGTAGGTTTTCTATGTTTCTTTGTATCGCCTCCTGGAGATTAATCTGGAAGCTAGCAGGCACTTGCTGTTGTTTTGCTAAGGAACCAATTGGTGAAAGGCCAGGATCCGGAAGACTTCTGCTTAAGGTTTGCTTAGGCTTCGGGTTGTTGGTGTTGTTAGATGAAGCCATGTTGTTGGTATTAGATATACGCTGGACTTGATGTGGAGTTAGACAGCGATGATTCAAGTGTTAGGTTATTCAGATAGTTTTAGGTTAGATTTAAAACATGTAGATCTTGAACAGCAAATGACATAGCCATTCTAGTAGGAACATAGCTATTTCTGTAGGGACATAGCGGTCATCGGTATTTTAGTAAAGACAGCCATTTTAGTAGGAACATATTGGGATTTCAGAAGTGACATAGCAATTTTTGCAGGGACATATGAGACGTCGCTATTTTAGTAGAGACATAGCCATACTAGTAAGGAAATATTCACTTTTGTAGGAACATAGTACTTTTACTACAGACATAACAATTTTAGTAGTAACACAACTGAATCTTGATTTTATTACTTGAGACATAGCCAAATTAGTAGGGACATAATTTTTGTGAAAAAACATAGCGGACATCGTTATTTTAGCATGGACATAGCAGATGTCGCTATCTTAGTAGGGACATAGACATATTAGTGAGGACATAACCATTTCAGTAGGAACAATCGGTCGCTATTTCTGTGACCTCTGTATTATGCTGCTAGAAGTGTTTTAAGTGTGAAGTTGCCGTCCAATAAACAACAAATCCGAAATCTGAGTCTTCTGATTCTTTCAATACACAGAATAAAAACTTATCTGTGACAGTTACCAGTCCAAGTCGGATATGGGATTAGTTAGCAAGCTATTTGTCTTGGAAGCATGGACTTGATGTTAGAGGAAACGTAACCGACCACCGGTCACGTGAACCACCCTACGATGCGAGGAGACAAGCAATCCTGTCTCACATGATCATTTCCGCATAAGATTCGGAACTGCGACCCCGCGCAAAGTAATCGGAGAGGCGTTGGCCAGCGTATTCCTAATCTTAGCACGATCCGGCACACCGCCGAAAACCAACAAACTAGACAAATTTTCAATTTCATGCGTTTTTAACATATCAATAGCAATCTAACTGGCACCGAAGAGATATTGCACATAAAACATAACCTTTTTGCAGGGACATAGCGGAAAATGTTATTTTAATCAATGGGGACATAGCCATTCTAGTAGGAACATAGTCATTCTAGTGAAAAAATAGCCATTTCAGTAGGGACATAGCGGACAATGGTATTTTAGTAGGGACATAGCCATTTCAGTAGGTACATAGCGAGCATTGTTATTTTAGAAGGGACATAGCCATTTCAGTAGGGACATAGCGAGCATTGTTATTTTAGAAGGGACATAGCCATTTCAGTAGGGACATAGCGAACATTGTTATTTTAGTAGGGACATGGCAGACATTGCTATATTAGTCGTGATATAGCCATTTTAGTATGAAGATATCGAGAAACAGCTTTCAGAAGGGAAATAGTTAATTTAGTGGGTACATAGACATTCTAGTAAGGACATTGCTATTTTAATAGGGACATAGTTATTTTAGTGGGAACATGGCCATTTTAGTATTAAGATATCGGGGTCGCGATTTTAGAAGGGACAGCGATTTTAAAAGAGGTATTGCTAATATAGTACCGACAAAGTCATCTTAGAAGGGTAATACCCATTTTATTCGAGGCACGGCCATTTTAGTAGAGATATGTGTAATCTAGTCTTGATAAAGACATTTCCGTAAGGCCATAGCCATTCCAGTTGGGACATAGCCATTTTAAAAAGGAATAGCCAATTTATTAAGGACATGGCCTTTTTAGGGATATAGCGGTACGTGCTATTTTTGTATGGAAATAGCCAATTTA